ACAGTAGTGGCTTAGGTGGTGAACAAATGAATTTCTAGTGAGAAATTTTTCAAATGAATTGCTGAATTGTGGCCGTTCCAACAGGATGAATTAGGATTATTGGATGGTTTACAGAATCCATGTTAGTCAACCATTCATTTTGGTACAAAGTATAAGGCAAAATAATCAGATGGTGTTATAAAAATCTCGTCCAAATCGGGCAGCAAATTCTAAATTTCATTTGAAGGATCGCTAATCAAAAAGATGGTGGCACTCATAATCAGTGATCAACAATCAACTGTCAATCAAACTAACAATATTGTTATTAAATCATTTTAATAATTGAAATATCATTTCAATTACTTAAAATTACCCCACGACTCAATAGTCGTGACAGTTGCAGTACATGGGAGAGTATCACTATTCTCATGTTTTCGACTGAAATGGGGAGTGAGTAGCTGATGTTTTCAACCGTTTCAAGATGATGCAGCATGGTTTTGACTTAAAATAGAACTTTCCGATCATAATGATGAAGTTCTCAAGGCGAAAAGTTTCTCAAAAATCGCAATATTTCCATAGATCTCCTTGAAAAGGGAAATACTTTACATTTTAATCAACAGTACTGATGAAGGCGATCATGGCAGGTGAGGTGTAGCGATATGAAACGATCTAATTAAATGTGTCAACAAATTTCGAAGTACTCTTACAAGAATCATTGACCAAAAAAATATCAGTGTGAGACAAAAACAGCTGCAATTAGCAGTGCACACGTTGCAACCGAAGATGCACGAGATGAATAAAAAGATGAATTGGTTGACGACGCATATCATTTAAATGATAGGGTTAAAAATAGAGCTCTTCCCGTCATCACTATAAATGCAAAGAGAAGATTTAAACTCAAAAGTTTTGGTCGTCTGTACATTCGTGCACATCAGATAAGTAAGTAGGGGAAGGTTTACAAAATGAGCAATAAATGGTGTTAATACAAAATCAATATATGTTTATTTATTTGCATTGCATTTCAAAAAGCAACGAAAGACGCATCAGTCAATCAGTGAACAAACAATTATGATTACAATTATGTCAAATATCATATGAAAAGAATATCGAATAAATAATTATATATTCAAAAACGTTCACGAATGCTTCTCAACCAGTTCACTCCGCATGCTATTTCCTTATACACATTGATCTCTGAAAAAATGTTTCCCTCTGTATAATACTCGCCACCCTCGATCTCATGGAATAGGTTGTAGTAGATTGAGATTTGCAAAATATGTTCGGCCGTTTTTTCCTTGATCACATTATGTGCCTCTCTCCGACCACGGTTTGTGCAAACCACGTTTCTGCATTATTTCCTGACTCCCAAGTGCACAAATTAGTACCATTTGCATCAATCGTATCTTGAACTACATTTTCATGTAACCCATGATCTCAGTATGTTCCGCATATAGGCCAGCACATTTTTTCCAGATCAGATTGAATTTCAACCAATTCATCGTCATTATTCGGTAAAACATAGTCATCACCCACATCAGTATTATCCAAAATTTCACAGAAAAATGACTGATATATCTTTGAAAGGGAAAATGAAATCAGGATTAACGGTGTGATTAAATATTATCATTTCTTTTCATGTCACATCCTCAGAATACGACGTATTTTAAACTTTGAAGACAATCGTGTGGGATAAAATCCGTTCAGATGAAAAGTTCACCGATTTTTTTCTTTCTCATTTCTGAAGACGAATCAAATTTATTCAAACAGCGTTTCCAATTTGTCCAGTTTTCGAAGCCGTAATCATAAGTAAATATGTTTCCGCCTAATATATGTTCTCCTTGTTCCGCTAATTTCAACTTATCGCATAAATCATATGAAGTGATTTTTCCCACGCATCTGTTTCTTCACTTCCCACTGACCGTTTTATTAAAGAGATCCGTTGTTCGCTAAGGAATCGAAGTAATCCCGCGCAGAGAGGCTGCAGTGACATGAATTTTCAAATGAACAGCAACATATGCCAGTTCTTTTGTAATACGTCATGCATTCACTTTGTGTTTCTTTAAATTCTTGATCAGTCAGTTTCTGTCTCCACATATCAGTACGAATCTCACCACAACTGAATGGAGCTTTCGTTGTTAATTTGATTTTCTAATGGAGATGCATTTTGTTCTGATAAGATACGTTGGCCTCTGATTGATTATGAACATCACTGTTGAATTCCTATCTGGTATAATATGAAGATGATTTTATTACATTTTCAAAATAATTCAAATTAGTGGAAATAATCAGCTTGCATCATTTACAAGTGTGTACAAGCACTTTTTCACTACACGTCTTACACTTCACAGAACAACACCAAAAAAACTTGCAGTGACATTGCGTTTCACGTACTTCTTCTCGCGTATTATACCCTCGTCCACAACATAGCAGATCACAGCTGTCTGCATTAAGCGAGAGTTGATTGCATTCTCTTCCTTTCGTTCCAAGTATACCTGTAAACTGTCGCTTATTTCACTGTTTTTGGCTTTTTTTTCAAATCTCTTAAATTTCCTGTGAATAGCAACGAATGGGACGTTTCGGCTCTAGTTCACTCCAAGCACCGAATATGACCTGTTCAGGTTCACCCCATGCTTTGAAACAGCAGAGGTGCTTTTTATGGCGGCGCCTTTATTCACGCTCCATTTATGCATCACACAAACTTTTTTCCGTTCTTCCTTACCAATTCTCAATAAGTACACATGTGACGTTAAATTGATGCAAAATCCCCAATCACTTTCAAATGTTATGCATCTCCTTGTAATGCGTCTATCATTTGACAACTATTGGCCACTCAAATGTGATAAGGAGACACTAAATGCAAGCTTGATTCATCAGAACGGAAACGATGTCAACAGCAAAATTATCATGAATAGGCAGCAGTGAATGATTCATTTTGCGGTTACACGTGGTTATGAAATGCATTTCGTCCACTTCTACAAATAACATGCAGCATATCAAGACACCACCGAAACGAAGATAAAAGACACTCTGAGTCGTACTGAACGGTATGATTATCTCTGCTCACTGTCGTTCAGGTTAATGCTCGAAAATAGTTACCCTCAGCCTCATTTGGCTCACAGTAGTTCGGTGATTTATTAATGTACGCTATTTCGTTTCCTCGTAACGGTTTCTTCCTCTCTGATCTTTCCTTTCGCCGCAGACGTTTCTTCGCTCGTCTTGCTACCTTCATTATCAAAAATATTGCAGTGATCAAGTATGCCGACACGAGACTCTAAATGCAATTACGAGCACACAGCAAAAATTTGCATTCATCGTATTTACTAATTACATAAATTATGTGCTAAACATGCAACAGAAATACGAGTGACGAATACCTGTACAGAAAAATGATTGTAGCGTTGCTTTAGCATTTCACCCACTTCGGCGAATTTCGGCATTTGCAACCAGCACGTTCTAAATTCGCAAGAACCGCTTACGCCATGGCATCTACACTGTTTATGCATATTTTGCACTATAGCCTGAAGATACTGAAGTTAACTGAGCGGTGCAATTATGAAAACATTCTCAGAATCAGCAAACTCAAATAATAGGTATTTGTGGGACAG